GATTTTTTTAGTTATGGGAATAAAGTGCTGATTTACATCTGACTGTAAATTAAACTGAGATGAGTGATGCTGTAACCATTCTGCCTGACTCTCTTGGATGCTGCTTACCCTTGAGGGAAAATGCTAAGCAGGACCTCTGGCAGCTCCTGGCTCAGAACAGCCACAGCCCAGCGCTTTAAAGGCAATTAGCACTTATTGCAATAGTAAGTGTTTACTAAGAAGAAATGCAAAAGAACCAAGAAAAAGTGAGTAACAGAGCAATACAAGAGCTCCTGTGTGGGGAGACTGTGCTGACTGGGACCCTCAGCCTGGGCAGCGAGGGGTGGAATGAGGAGAGGATTACCAAAGCCTGCAAAGGGAAGTGGGGCAAAGAGTGTGGGGACAGGTGCCTAGAGAGAATCAAGGATCCTAAAAGCCAGTTTGAGAGCAAATCAGGGAAGCTTATTCCTCACACAGCAGCCCTAGCCCTGCTGAATGATGTGCCAAGGGTATTTACAAAAATATGCAGATGTTTCACCGGGGCTCAAGGGGAGAATGAACCAGGACGCGAAGGACCAGTGAGAACCACCAAACAGACTACAGCTAGCTCGTCAAAATTCCTGGAACTGAAAATATTAAAGGCAGGGAGAATGGAAGATTTATTTGCCCTTATCACAGAATCACAGGATCGTAGGGTTTGGAAGGGACCTTCAGAGATGGAGTCCAACCCCCTGCCAAAGCAGTTCCCTGCACCAGCTCACACAAGTAGGTGTCCGGGCAGGTCTTGAACATCTCCAGAGAAGGAGACTCCACGACCTCCCTGGCAGCCTGTTCCAGTGAATATTAAATTATATTTATTATCATATTATATATATACAATATTTTTATTATATTTATTATTATATGTTATATTACTGTTCTATAGGTATCTGCCTGCAGTGAGGTTAGGAAAATGAACTCTGGACTCACAGGAGCTCGGTCTGATGCAGCATGGTCTGTGTTACATCAGACCATCAAGCGTGGCTTTTAAGAAGCTGATGAGTGTCCTACTTACCTGCCCTTACTTTAGGTCCTGTGGCATCCAGGACAGTAATATGGAAGGCAGTTTGTGATCATAAGAGATTTGGGCACGCAGTTCAGCCCAGCACTCAGGTCACATCCAGCTGCACCATGACTGAGTCACTACGAAACTGCCCTGCAAGAGTTGGTACGTGCAGCCCTGCCACTGCCTGCACATCTCCAGCACAGGGAATTGGAGCAGTGATCTTGTATCCCAATTACCAGCTTCGTGCTCTGCAATTACAGAGAACCAGGAAAGAAAAACAAGGCTGATCTCTAGCAGGAAGTTGGTGAGGATCAGGCAGCACAGCGTGCCTCTGGGCAGGATTCAAAGAAGTGAGAAGCAGCACATTACAGCGATCCAGCTCATCACCATACAGGCCTGTTACTGCAAAGATAGCTACAATTGCATCCCCAAGACTAAGCTTACAAGAAATACACAGGCACTAAAATGTGATCAGAGTCCTATCCTTCTGCCTGTGGAAACCTCACTTAGAACCCGTTAAGAGCTAAGTGCAAGACAAATCTCTAACATGCAGACGAAGATTTTGCTAGTTTACTCTTTCCACCGTGGGTTGTTCTTTTCTAATTTTGTGTTGCTATTTCCCTTCTGATAATTGTGGCCCCATGCAGAAAAGTCTGGGCAAGTGTTTCAAAAACACTCCTCAAAGAAGGATGTGGTGTTGGTTGTGGATATTTAGAGCCACTGCTCTGAATGATCACGAACACTCATGGATGTGAGAGCCTCTGTCAACAAGAAGAGAGACAGATCTGCTTTCATTCTCTGACTGCAATGGCATGGGCCTCTGCCCTCCAGAACAGCAGTGAGAAAGATGATCTGCAAAATGGTACAGTGAGGTAATGACTGCGTTAGCACATCCGGCTCGCTGCTGCAAGTTCACTGAACGTCACTCTGTTCTGGTATTCGATGTGTTTTTCGTTATAGTTTCATAAGGTTATAATTAGAGATTCAGCTGCCCTCTAATGGCACTGATTTTAGCAGATGACAGCCGCACAGCTCTCCTGCACGGTGCAACGTTACACAAAGCTCTGTTGAAAGCTTCTGCAGTGTATGAAGAAAGCAGTGATATTTTAGATATTAATAGTTGTTTCTTTACACATCATCTTGGAAATCCACTGATTGCTAAGCAAGCATAAAATTGATTGTTCGGAAGTTATCAGGAAAACTCTTACACTTCAGGTGGGAGTTATCTTGGTGGATTTTGTCAAGCAGAGAGGCAATTTGAGTTAATGCACATTTTCTCCCTGTAGCCAGAGTGACACTGACCTCCCTTCAAGCCAGAGGCAGTAGGACAGCAGGGATGCAAAAGCCTGGGAGCTGCGAGCACAGCTTTGTTTGGCTCTGCACTGGTCTGAATCCGTCCCAGACCACTCACAGTACTGCCGTCCATCTGTACACAAGGGCTGCACCAACTGAAGACCCTGATAAACTCTCATCATTCAGACAACACGTGCCCATCTTTTGTCTCCCTGGATTGTATTCCTCACTGTGCTAAAGCTCACTTTTATTTCCATAGTTTTGCCTTGCATAATAAGATTTTATTATTTTTATGTTTGTAATGTTTTCTTTCATTTCCATTTCTATTTCTTTCCTAAGCTACTTCAACTGTAATTGCTCTTAAAATCTTTCCTACCAGAAAGTTTTTTTCTACAGTGTACTTTAAATTGTAATCCTAAGAACTTGATGCAAGACAATAAATATAGTTTAGATTATGGGCAAGTTCAGACCCCAGTCTGAATAACACAGCGAGTCCCCAACCCCTGCAAGGGTTACACTTTTTGTTTCAGTCTGTGAGCACACAGCCAGGGGTACCCAACAGCAGAGCCCCAACACTCCTTCCCTGTGCAGGAAGAATCCTCAGCAAGATATCCTGTAGTGAAGGGTTTCTCTTTGCCCTGGTTTTCAGAGATCCCAGGTAATGGTAATCACAACCCAGAATACCTGAAACTACAGATGTCTGACTTATCTATTCCCAAAGAACAGAGCTGGGAAAAAACAGCTTTTACATGCATTTATGAGCACTGCTGTGTTAAGATACCAACAAACAGGCTCAGATCCTGAGGTGGCCAGGACACATTGCTCATTGGTATCCAATATGTCTCTCTGTTCTTCACCCATACTCACATCTTTGCTGCTTGCTCCTCCTGTGGGGATTCACGAAGCACCTGCAGCATTCCCTATGCCACAGACTGGCAAAACCCAGCCTGCCTTGCTTCGCTGGGTGTTAACTAACAGAGACCTTCAGCTGAGCTTTTGACTCAGGGCTGGCTCTCCCTAAGTTCCTTGCAAAACAGCTTTAAGTCCACCTTATGCTATGCCAGAATCTACAAGTGACCCAGGTATAATCCCCAGCCCTCTGCTTCTCCAAGACCATTCATTGCTATCTGCAAACCAAGGCTGAAGTTAGAGATAACTGCAATGATACCGGAGGAGAAGCACTGAGAAGAAGAGACTTGAGGAGGAAGCAGCTCTTTGCAGCGGGTGAGGAGGAGGGCCGTGGCACTGGCATGACCCACTGGGAGGAGGAAGCAGCAGAGCCCGTGTGCTGCCATGGCGTGGGCAGGCAGCGTTTGGACATTTCTCTGGATGCTCAAAAAGCCATGGGGTTAATCCAAGGTTAATTCAGAAAAGCACAAGCTTATTTCTGGACCTACTCTACTTTCCTGTCCTAACAAGCAATAATTACACACCAATGTTATACATAGCTGTGAATTTTAAGTCAGAGGCTTGGCGGAGGGGTGAGGCCGCGGGGCTGCGCAGGGCTGGGTGCTGTGGGGCAGGGTGTGGAGCAGTGCTGCCTTTATCTCAGCTGTCACCATGAACTTTTCAACTCTCACAGATGATGAACAGTCTCAGCACCATCCCCTCTATCACCTGCTGTTTCAAACAGTTGGGCAGCCTAGTGAAAAAGGAACAGTAGGCAAGCCAAGCATGCGGGCTAAGCCTGCTCCATGCCCACAGGGAGGGTTTAGGCATAGGGTCCTGCTTTGCCCCTGTTTTGGCCACTGCGCTGGTCCTCAGGATCTTGCTAGAGCTCAGGGAGGGGAGCACAGGCAGCTGAGCCATGTTGCGACTCCCAGCCCGTGCTTCAAGTGGAGAGAAGCTCCAGCTGGACACACAAAGCACGCTTGGCCCTGCTGCACACGTGTGTTCCCCAGTGCCTGGGCTGAGCTGGCAGCCTGGAGCAGCTGTCCCCACAAGCCCCTAGGGTTCACCCGGTGCACAGAGGGGGTCCATGTTCCTGCAAGCACAGGTTGCCAAGCAGACATTCACTGTATTTGCAAAAAACATTAAATAAAATAAGCCACTGGGTTTCTCCATCCCTCCCCTCAAGGGCCTCACCACTTCTTCATCGTTCTGTCAGTGTGGTATTTAATGCCTATATTTAAAGCCCCGCAGTCTCCTCAGCAGTGCCCTACAGACTGACTGAGCGTTATGTGGTCGCCCTGCAACGCCGCAGGAGCCCCAGCCATGCACTCCACCACTACAAAGCCCCTGTACAATGCTGCTTTTTATATCTTGCACTAAGCTAAGTGCTGGAGCAGGCACAGCTATTGGCGTCTGGTGTCTGCTCAGCTTTATTTTGAGGTGTTCAAACTTAACAAACCAGCTTTTTTTAGGCCCATATGCGCAGATCAGGCGGTCACCTGTGGCAAGATGTTTATTCTCAGATTTTAGCCAATGTCAGGGAACAGCCTTCTCCAAACATCGCTGGAGCTATTTAAGTAGCTGCTCACAGCTACCCCTCGGTTCACACCAAACACCACAAACTTGTTCATTGAGCAACAGCTCCTGGAGACAAAGGTGAAAGCCATAGGCAGCTCACTCTCAACTTACCCATGGGATTTTACGGTTCTGCTGTAAATGAGTGTTTACTTTTGAAGAGCTGCACACCCAGTATAGTTTACCACTGCATCAATCTTGAAACTAGGAGATTTACCTGGCAGTTTGGCAGCTGCTAACATCCCTTAGTATTCTTTGCTTCCTGACTGCATTGCAGGCTGTGGAAAGGCAGAGAAATACTTGGTTCTTGGACAGATGAGCATCCAGCTGTGGCACAGCAACTCTCAAGACTGGTGAATATGCTCAGGGCCAGTGGCAGCCTCCTAGAAGAGGATGGATGCAAAAGCATTAGTACAGACGAGTGGTGAAGCCTGAAAGTTAGGATGGTATCAACGGAGAGGAAAATTTTCATGTGTCTGATGGCCATGTTCCTTGGCACTTCTCACCTCATGGCTACAGCATCCTTCTTCCTTTTTTCCATGCCCCCCGCTTTGCCTTCCTCCCCACTGTTCTGCTCCTCACCTCTCTCCCTCACCCCCGTCACCCAGCCTCTGCCTGTGGCTGCTGTTCTGACTCGCCCAGCCCATGCTCCTGCAGGCTGCCATCACCTGCCTCAGCCTTGAGCACCACAAGCCTGCAGCTGAGTGTGGGCCAGGCTTTTTGCATTGCTCAGTCACCCTGAGCATCTTGGAGCAGCAGGAGGGGCAGCCCTGTGCTGTGGGTTTGCCATCACTGTTGCTGCTGTATTGAAGAGTGCACAGACACATCACATAGGTAAAGCTCAAAGCAGAAAAGACAAGGGAGGCTTAACTGTGACAGCTTCCTCAGCTTTCTGCTGCTGGCTGTACTCCCTGCCTTATCTGCAAGTTGCCTGAATGGGGTTTAGATGAGGAGGCTCTTTGGCTTTTGTACTTCCTTCCCCTGAATAATTTCATCTCAGAGATTCCAACAAGGCCATTGGACTGAATGGATCATGAACACAATTTATCTGCTGGGCTCAGCAGGAACAGCTTTGCATCTGAGGTCCCACACTGGCTTGGGTGACACCATCCTAGGTTTATGCAAGTGTCAGGTGAACAGGACGGCCCCAAGCTCAGCGCCAGTGGGTGCAGAGAGATGATCGGGTTACTTGCAGTATGAGCCTCACTCGGGAGCAGGGCAGTTCTCTCTGCAGCGATGTTATCTTTGTACCTGGTTTCTGGCAGAAGAACAGCTCACGCATGCTATTAGCAGATGGTGTGAGATGCACACCGAATTTGCACCCAGAACGTTTCTCCCATTCTTCCTTCCAGAATGAAGAAGTGAAAATTCAAGCTAAAAGCATGCACTGACTGCAGCCCTGCAGCCCAGGCTCGAGTACAAACCTCTGAAACATTTCAGTCTCTGCCACAGTTAACTACTCAGCACATACCCTTTCAGTCCGAAATGCAGGGAGTGCATTTCTGTAAAACCATGCTCCTTGATGCCCTTATGTCAGCTTCTTTCAGGATCAGCTGTGAACAAGCAGCACACATTACAGGACATGTCTCCCCAGTGAGCTGAGGCATCCATCTGTGGCCCATAAGTAATCACTGCAGGCTTGACAGAGCATGGCAAACTTTGCATCCACAAACAGGAGTGCACTGCTTTAAGTTTCAGAAAAATAAATGGCCGGGATGGCATGATCCAGGAGCCTGGGTTTGTGCTCAGCTCCAGGAGGAGGCACTGGCCCGATGAATCCCACTGCACCCCTATTTGTGCTGCTGTGAGCTGAGAATGAACGGGTCTGCTCCATTGCCATAGCCATACACCTGAGTGCTTTCCTGAACAATCCTTCGCTTTTGATCTGAATGTCTCACCTAGTAAACAAATGGCTTTACGAAAACCTCCCTATTTGCAGTTCTTTTACATCAAACATATTATGATTTCCTTCATCTCCATGCAGGGAGGTGCGTCTCGTCCTGCGCTGCTCCCGAGCCGGAAGGAAAACAGACGCTCATACAAGAGCGCTCTCACAGCACCTCAGCGCTCCGCTTACGTGAGCACGTTCCTATGTGCTGCACCGTCCCGAAGCACGATCTTACTCCAACTCCACGAACCCCTGCAGAAAAGCAGCAGATCCAAAATTACGAGGGATCGCGAGTCAAGCACTCGGGATCCAAATCCGAAGTGCTGTCGCTGTGCCACGTGCCGGCGGGGCCCGGCCCGGAGTCACGGAGCAGCGCCCGCCCGCACCGCGATCACCGCTGCCGCCTACAGGAGACGCGGCCGCCTGCACGCACAGCTCGCAACGCGCCGCGGAGCGCGAAAAAGGTTCGAAATCCAGCTCCCCAGCTTTAAGCAGACTGCAGTCTCTCCTGACCTCACGCAGCAGAAGGGCCCGTCCCTGCTTTCGCCTGTAGTATTGCTGCAGCTCGGGGCAGAGGGGCGGCGGAGCAATAGCGCTTTGTGCCTCTGCCAACACGGAGCTACTGAAGTCACGCTTTCATGTGTGCCCGGTTATGCCTTCCACTGAAAAAAGAAGGAAAAAAAAAAAAAAAGGAGTTCATCATAGAGGCACTTTTGCGTCTACTATGGAATTTATTTCCTTAAAAATTATTTTCCCTGAAGCCTCGTAGAGATTACAACCCCAGATAACTCACATTGTTCTGGTGCCGTGCAGTGGAAAGAGCTGAAATGGCAGCAGAAGGGGCACAGCCAGGCCCTGCAGCAAGCTCTGGTAATGGAACAACCAAACAACCTCCTGCACACAGGGACAGCAAGAGCAGAAGGAAAATAAAGTTGAAAGGGGAATGCAGTAAGGTGGCATTTCTGTTATATTTTTACCATATTAAAAAAATAAAATCTTCATGTGGTTAAAAAAAGCTAAATGCAATGTATTCTGTAATTCCTATCTAATTTTGTGAAACAGCTTGTCACAAAGGCTACTGGTGCCTCAGCTCTTTGCTCTGTAACTTTCTTCTGAAGTTCAAAGCCAACGAGCTACTTCAGATTGGTACATTTGTATGCCCTTTCCTTTCTTTGATGCAAATGCAACATGTAAAATTCCCCAGTGCTTTTCTCACTCCTTCCTAAGGTTTATCTTCTCAGTTGCCCTCCTCGGTACAATCAGACCTTTTTTCACACTTGGGTAAACCTCGAAAACCATTCAGAGTGGAAACCACATGAACCAGTTCAGCAAACAGCAGGCAGCTGTGCCTCAGAGGCCTTTCCGAAGGTCAAACATTTCTACGTAATTTGTCCAGCTACTTTAGTTGTTAAACAGAAGACCACTGAGGCTGAGGAAATAAAATGACATGGCTTTCTAGATGTGTCTGATTAGCTCGCCCCATACTCCTGCATGATTTCCCTCAGTTTGGCTGTCCTTTACACTGCGTATGTCAGGACTCCAGTCAACTTCATCTTTGTTTTCACGTTATTTTCTTTTTGGCAGGTTGTGCTGTATGTAATCTTTCAGATAAAGATTCACATCTTCCCTATTAAATTGAATATGCCTATGTGCCAGCAGCTGGGCTCCTGCCTCTTGAGAGAGCCCAGGCTGAGGGTGAGAACACCTGGCCCCATGGCAGTGCTCTGGGGCTGAGTCACAGGCTGCCACCTCTAGAAGTCACCTGCTTCTACAAAAATTCATGTAGCTCCCCGCTGCCCAGAGAATGGAAGAGACGTTCAGACACACATTCAGTAGGTTCTTGTACTTCTCAGTCCAAAAGCCTTTCCCCACAACAATTAGTGGACGTGGCTGTGGGTTGCGTTCCAGTTACTCTTCCTTTCTTTGTGTGCAGTACAGGCTCCAATCAGAGAACAGCAGACTTGGAATGGAAAGCCAATAATAAATAAAACAGCAGCACAGAAAACAAACGGGGATAAGATTTGTAGCAGTTTTGCCTAGAGTTTCAATGCTGGTTTATTTAAGATTGTGAAGGTACATTTGAAAAAGCAAGCAGAGGCCTTGTGGACATCAGATACAAATCCTAACAGCAGTGCTGGCCAGGCTGAGAGCACAGAACTGATTGCTGCTGCCCTCCATTCCCATCACCCCAGCCTTGCCCTGCCACAGTCAGTGGGACCGTGTCCTCCCAGGAGAGCATCTCACTGCAGGAAAGGCTGCCCAGCTCTATGCTGTGCCCGGCTCTGTGCCCAACTATAAGCCCAGCTTTGTGCTGTGCCCAGCTATAACCCAGCTCTGTGCCCAGTACTGTGCTGTGGTTGGACGTGAGGAGAGCTAGGCGTTCACAGGGAGAAAAGGGAATGGAACATGGCTCAGCTGGAGTGTTTCAGCATTTAGATGCTTCCCCTTTCTTTTTCCTAGAACGTTTTTGGCTGACACTTTGTCCTGCTAAGGCTAATGCGTTAGGGTTCATCATCCTCAAGGCATTTCTATTAACGAGAGCAAGGCAAAGTGAATACAGAAGGCTGACCATATTCTTTGTTGTTTGTGCTGAGCTCATCTATTTCGCCAACACATCCTCCCATCTTCTTGGGCTGACACAAGGCCAGGAGGAGGCTGCTGTCCCGAGGGGCCAGAGGCACAATGAGGGCTCAGCAGCTCACTGCTACAGTGCTGGGGGGCCATAAAGGCAGGGGTGTGTGGCTCCTGGCCCCATCTCAACCCACCTGCAGGACTCCTGCTGTGCCTGCATGGCTTCCAGCAGCCAGACTGGATGAGGGCACAGGGCAGAAGCCATGGCCTGATGCAACCCAGCGTGTTCTGCTTCCTCACAGCCCATCCTCAAAGCATAACCTGGGACACAGAGACATTTGCTTCTCTTCCCCTCACTCATGGAAAGCTGGATGCTGGCCCCACTCTGGCTGCTTCCTGAGGAGCAGTGAAACCCAGCAGCTTTTAGGTGTGGAGCTGGGAATGCTGGTGCTCAGTGCAGTGCACAGGGTGCATCACCATCATCAGCACACTCATTTAATACAGCAACTTGAATAAATCTGCTTCTGCACTTGGTACAGGCAACTGCAGTTCCAGCATCCCCTCAGGACACAGTGTCCCCCAGAGAAGGGCCCAGGGACAAAGAGCATCTTTTGAAGGCTCTCATTACACCTGTGCCACATTTATCATATCTGATAAGCTTATCAGTGAAATTCCAAAAGAGATGTTTATCTCAGAGAAATAACTTTGGCTGAAGTTACTTTGGTACAAACTTGCTACGATTCCTTTCTGTAAGTGGAGAACTACTTAAGTGCTACCCTTGAGGAAAAAACTGGTGTAATGTTTCCCATCTGTCTGATTTTGTCTCTATGAAGACCACTTTGTGTACCAGCTCTGCCCTGATATTGTTACTGAGGGTTTAATTTCAGTACACAGTCATAGTTCTATTTTCCAAGGTACAGTTCCACAAGCATTTCTCTTTGGAATCAGCAAAACGCCATTTTCTTTCTCTCCTGAAAAGGTACAGAAGGCATTTGTTGGGTTCCATTTGGGTTTGCCATTCGCACGTGAAAGGGCAAAGGAGAGGAAAACTCCATGGCACTGCGGGTAAGTTTCTATACTTTCCTACAGACACGCATGAGATCATCAGGCCAAGCTTACTGTGTCTTAGATCTCCACGTGCTGCTCATTCCAGCTCAGGATCTCAGGCTGACTACAGTACAGAGGAAAACAGCTGTGGGCAACAGGAAGGACTTATACTGTATTGTATAATGGCTAAGGCTTATATGTTAAAAATGCAGTCAGTGCTTCCCACTGAAGCCAGCAGCACCACCAGATTGAAGCTTTGTTCTGTATTTCACACCAAGTTCAGTTTGCTAGGACAGACACAACGGCTGCCAGCCAGACCCATGGGCAAGGTTCAAGGACTGCAAAGGGTACAAGGGTGGGCCACCAGCGTGTGTAATATTTTACATTACTCGAAGTGAGCAGTGAAATAAAACAGATTTATTTCAATGGGGAATATCTGTATTTCAAACATTCAATACCTATATCCTGAGCCAGGAGGGTTGCTGTCTCCTCCAGAACGGACTGCTTCTGGAGAGCAAAGCCACTCGCTGCTGTCACCACAAACACCTGAGGCAGCAAACAGCAGCTAACCTGTGCACTGTCTTTGTGCTAATGACCAAGCCATGATAACCACATCCCTAGCAAACTTCCCATTTAGTTTAATTAACTCCAAGCTGATCACAGCAGTCAGAGTGAGCCAAAGCCCCACATTCTGACATCAAGGAGAGGACGTTCAGCACAGCTGCAGCATTCTGCTCAGCTGCACCTCCCAACACCCTCAACAGGCTCAGACAGCTACACCTGAAGCCCCTTGATGAGCCCCATGAAGCTCCCCCTGCCACAGCGGCCACAAAACCTTCCTATGTTGGAGCTCAGCCCTCCTGCACACCAGACACAGCCCCTGCCCAGCCCTGCCCGCCACGGCTCCATCCTGCCATGGCCTGGGTGCAAGTCTTCTCTTGGAGAGTTTTAGGGCAGAAAGCTGGTTTCCACACAGTGTAGAAAATTATCTTATTTATCTTATTGCTAAGACAATGAAAGTGACTTATATAATAATGTTATTATTAGTCTGAAATGCTGTTAAGCATTGGTTTGAGCAGATGCTGCACCGCAACCCCTCACTAGTGTGCGGTGTAGGATCTGCAGAGCTTCCAGGGGGGTTGCGTTTCCCCTAATGCAATGCAGATGTGTTGGTCACCACACTGGGAGCTGCTGCCCTCTCCCTGAGAACACTGACACTTACAGATTCATATTTTGAAGTACCAACCAAAAGGTGCAGCTCCCAGGGAAAAGGCTTAAACTGAAAACTGATTGTGAAAGCAGTTCAAGGAACAAACTGACTGCTGTTGATTCCAGAACTACTGAAACATTTCAACTAAATAATAGAGACATTCCTGAGTCCTATTTGGACTTTTCATCCCACAAAACAAAAACAAAACAAACAAACCACAAACAAACAAAAAAAACCACCACCAAAACAACAACAACACAACATGGTTTTTGAGATAAAACAAATATGAACTATATCAATTCCTCATCAGGCAACTACTCTGTTTCACTCAGCTCTGATTTCATTTTAAAGTAATCTCTTTAGAACACAACTAACAGAAATTAATCAGTGACTGTTCAGTGGTTAGAGAACAGAGGGTCACAGTGCAGCCTCTGCTCCCCAGGCTCACAGAACATCTGATTCCATTGACACTATCAGCTGCTTTTTCAAACAACTGTGAAGAAGGGAAGGAAACCCAACACCACCCTGCTGGCATTTGTGCAGATGTGGCTCCTCAGTGTGATCGCTCTATGCAGGAGAACTGGAAGAAGTTGAGGCCCAGTCTGAGGAAATACACAAATACAGGAATACCAATGCAGACCTTTGCGAACCTTTGCAAACTCTCCAATAAAGCTCTTAGGGCCACTGAGCCAGTGAGTTGGCTGCTGGGGCTTTAGTGGCTGCAGCTGTTTGAGCAGAGGATGCATGAGTTGCATAAGGACAACTGTTATGAACATCTATACTGAAGAAAGGAACCTAGCAGTCCTGTGGATTTCAATAATGCAAGAAAATTCATTGGCATTCCTGCAGAGTGAAAGGTAACTTCTTAGCACCCTTCTGGCATGAAATCATAGATGCAGAAATGAAGGAAAAGAAGCTGCTTACCTTTAGAAAGCCTCAGTAGGCAGGGATCTCCAGCAAGAAATGACCTCACCTCCCCTGCCAACACTTAAATGAGGCTTGGGAAGGGGTGATCCTTGCTCCACCTCTTCC